GCTCTAGCAGGACCTGGCGTTTTTTCTCTCCGGGGCGCGCGGCCAGGCGGTAAATCAGGAGGGTTAAAGAACGCAGCATTTCAAGATGAAAACGGCAAAGCCGAACACGATAGGCGCACAGGAACGGAGCGGAGTGTGAAAGGAGCGTGGAGTGAAGCTGGCACAAGATAAGAGAGTTACTAGATAGTGGCAGTTCAGGGTTGGACTACAACGATAACGTCGTCTTAGTCCGTTATGTTTACAAAGCCAGAAACGCTTGCAACTTAAAAGACTAAAATCACATCTAGGGAAACAGTGAGGTCACTTAAGGTCAAAACACTGAAGGTCACGAGATAGTCTAAGCGGATGTGTCCCGGCATTTTCATGCGAAATCTATTGGAAAGATGCGTCCGACATCGCCCTCCTGCTTTATTTTGGTCGTCTGGTGCCTGCAGAATTCAGCGCATTCATCATCACACCAGTTTCTAGCAATGCATAGTAGAGCCCTCGCATCTGCCCCTCTCTTAAAGAAATCGCTACCGCCGCATGTTTGGCATGTGTCACATGGTACCCGTGAATGCGTACAAGGAAATGGTTGTGGCGCCAAACGAATTTTGGCCCCATTTCTTTGCACGCAACGCTTGGGTTGCTGTCATGTTTTTCCAGAGACGCGGCGGGCCATATAACCTCCGCTTCCGTGACGCCTCCGACGTCACGCAACAAAACAATTGCCTGCAGGTTTTGCGCAGCCCGCCAATCAAAGACGCCGCTCTGCGCGCCCCCCGCTGCGGGGCGTGACCTCTGCCCGGCGCGTGCTCCGGTGACTGCCGGCGGCCCCGGCGCGGCCCGCCAGCGCCCTGTCACCCGCAGCCCGCGCGGCGCGCGCGCCGGTCCGCCGCCTGATGGATGATACCGTCGGCAGCGCGACGCTGGTGTCCGCTGTCCCGCTCCGGGACGATCAGCCGGTCGGCGGAAGAGCCTAGTACGGCGAAGAAACGAGGCGGCGATTAGCGCAGCGACGGACAGGCCAGGGTCGCGGCCTACCTGACGAGGGGCGGCGGGCAGGGACGAAACGCCTCGGCGAGTGTGGGGAGGGGCGGAGGAACGAGTAGAAACAGAGCAGTCGAAAAATATTTTGTTTGGAATGGTTTGAGCAAAGTTTAGGTTATCCCGAAAAAGTGTTAGCCTGAGAGCAGTTACGCTTGCGCTTGACTGAATGCTGCCCTGATTCATGCCAGATTGCGTTCTGTGTAATTTTAGTCATTCATAGCACAAGTAACACACATTTTGGTAAACACGCAGGGCCTGCACACTGTTTCAAAGGCTTCGACAGCCTGTGTACAAGACGTCCCTGATCTCCTTCCGTTTATCAACAAATGATGGATTAAAAATGGTTCTGATGCTTGAAACTTAAAATAACTATTATGAGTTACGTTAATGCGTAAGCAAGCTGTGCCTACGGCTACGAGTGCCCGTGGTCATAAGCACAGCTTGAAAGGTCGAGTTTTGTGAATATTGCACATGCTTGGTTGCTAACATCGCTAAGTAGCACTTCCTGGCTGATCGAAAGGTCAGATAAGAGCTCCCGACTCATGCTGCCAAGAAATGCTGTTCACAAAACTCAGATACAATCACACCGCCGTCTTTAAATGTATGCATCATGTCTGACCATCCGGAACCTCTTCGGTGTTACAATAAGCGGTACAAATGTAGTATTCAGTTCACGCATGGATCGTTGGAATGTCGAATTGGGCTGGTTTCTGTTACAATAAAAAAGGACCCGAAATTGAAATACACACATATATACATGCATATATATATATATATATATATAAATGTGTGCATATATATATACATATATGAATGTTTGTACGCATAGAGCGATACAAGTCGGCCTATCAATTTTACTGTTTGAGTAGATATATCAAACCCAAATTTAGTTATCGTTACGCTGTTCATCTTCCGGGTAATGTTTGGGCTACGTAAGAACACAGGCACGAAACAGGCCACACGTTGATAAGCCTAACGAATAGGTGCCGGCCTGGTCTACCAAACGACGGTCAAACTATTCTTATTTCCTCGTAGCATTGCAAGTTAAGCGTCATGATTTATCTATTAGCGACCTTTAATATATCAGAAGGCACTGGTTAAACGGCTCTATCAGGCGAGCAAGTGCTATATCACCAACACCCGACGTTTTAAGGGGTGCGCACGATTATGGGTGTCGACTTGCATTCTTTGGTGAGGGCCCACCCAAGTGCAGAGTTGCCCCCTCCACCAATGTTGGCTTGGGCTTCCCAATATTTTTGGCTCGAACATTACAAAATGTAGGAGATGTTGGCCACCGCACAAAGGCTCTCTTCTTTGATCCTTTTACGTAATGGCGTTGCAATGGAGGGTGCAGCTGGGTAACTTGACCACGCAACCGTAAAATTACATCCTGAAATAAGGGTAACTTAGGTAAACTGTTTAACATACCATGCTATCGTTTTTTCGTCCGTCAAACGTAAGTCCAGACTCTTCCCCCCTTCCCTCCACAACTGGTCATTACATTGGCGTCGATGATTCACCGCTATCGTGGACTTTTATGCCAGGCACATTTGACCTTCTACCCATGATGGGCTACGAGCTTAGCATTGTTGTACTTGATGTCGAGACAGGAATAACTGTGTTATAAGCCGTCATGAGAAAATCAAAGCGGGTAACAGCGAGGCATCATTAGTTCACAATGTTCAGATACGAGATGGGAAACAATGTGGACAGCAAACATTTTTCTGAGACCAATTTTTAATCCGGTTCCATGCTGAGCATAATTGATCGCTAGCAATCTGAATTTACCATCTCATTATTTTAATGCATCCCCAGCAGATCCATTTTGCCTGGGCCCCTCCTCCATATAGAACGAAAGGGTATTTGCCGTGCCATGCGACTACACCTTGAAAGCAGTCACGCATAGTTCAACTCGGATAAACGCGTGACATTACGAGATGGAACTGTGATATTGTTTTTGACGTCCCATACGCTTTTCGGGGCAATGTGCGGAGAAGTTTGAGCTTCATCTGGAGTCCTGTGACTAAAAACTTTCTATCGTTTAGCCACGTTCTGTTAGTACTGTTGGAAAGTCAACGATTCGGGATGAAATCAGACTTTCGGACTGTAAGGAAGAAGTGCATCACCATGCGCAGCAGAGAATAATATTTTGCAATGCTGCGCAATGCTACACATTCAAATCAAGCTTATTTTGCAAGCTGGCCATTTATTACCTTGTTATGCTGACGAAGAACCATGCAAAAAGAAAGTAAAATGGCTTGCATAATATGACGTACATTCATTCAATGGAAATTCTGCTCGCCTCAGGCGCGTAACAACAATTCAGTCATAAACATGCATGTGGTGGTTATTAAATAAGCACATTAATTTTCTTCACCACAGTCAAAACAAACTCATCATTACAGTTGTTGCAGTGCATTTCGGCATCTAATTGGAGCAATTTGCTTTGAGCTGCAGTTCCACGCAAGCATTTGCCAATATGAATTGTTCATTTTGACCCATTGAACGTAATTGAGCACTGTTCGGTATTATTAGCTATGATTATATTGTTCATTACAATTGTTGATGCTGTGACATATTGGAATTTATAAGTGTGGTACGACGTCAAAATTAAACCAAAGCTTCGCACTTCGATCGTGTGTCACGCAAAACTTGTGACTGAAATAAAGCTGTAGTTTTCCACAGGAAGGGGGAGGGGGTGGCGCTGCGTCCCTTATTGCCGGACAAAATAGAATTGGAACAGGTTGTGTAGTTTAACCGGATGGCTTGTCCCCGGAACCCCGTAACTGGACCTGTTACGAAGCTGGATTTTCACCGCTCACAGACGTAAGACAGATGTGTCTGTCGTATAGAGCATACCACCACTAGCACAGCCTTCCCTTCGTCATAAAAATTCGTGTTTGCTCTCACCACCAGATAAAAATCGTTTCTTCTGAGCGGATAAACGATGCAATAAATTTGACACGCGTAGGGCCGTAAGACGTGCAGAGATTCGAGAGGTTAAACTGAAAGGCTCTGAAGTGTGGAAATGACCGAGGTCCCATGTGACTAACCCCATCCTGGTCTCCCACAGCAAGAACTATGTAATGCTGTCCATGGCTGCCATAGAGGAGTGCCTTCGGTGCCCGAAGGCGGTCTCTGTAAGGCGGGGGCGTCTTTATTATCGGATCAGAAGATGCACGTGCCTATAATGTCTCGCCCGTCCCCTTTCACTCTAGATCCGCCCGTGCATGAAAATTATGTTGTTATAATTAGATTATTTTTAAAGTGATACACATATGTAAAATGTACATTGCCTTTCGTGAAAACAAATCGGGCCATATCCGTTGAGAAAAATGGGTGGGGGTGAGGGGTGAGGTTATCGGACCCCCGGCTGGACCTCCCAATCATTTGCAACAATTGACACCACTTCTGACGATCACGAGTGAATCTACAATCACATATAACGTGTGTTGTAATCTTATGGCCACTTGTTATCACCATTATACTTTGGAGTGTCGAGCTTTGACAAAATTGCCAACGTTTCGTTGAAAACGTTGTTTACTAATATATTCTGGTATGCTGAAGGCTGAGAAATGTTAGAAGAATCCGGAACTCATGATGTGGAAGAGTGGGAGCTGAAGGCCATTCTTGCTTATATTAAGTTCCTGACCGCAGTATAATGCAACAAAGCCAGGCTGTAGTAAGCCAGTGATATTACAAGCCAACCATCACATAATGCCCACGGCAGGAAGCGAGTGAGTGTACACAGATAAGCACATCACGCATTCAAATGGTACAGTCGGCCCCAGAGGTGTCGAAACGAACTGCGTCAATTATCATGTGAACTTGATGTTTGGCAGGTGTCTTCGCATCAAATGTCACTGAGACTGACCTTTCTCTGTGCTTTCAGACTTTTGGCGCCTGGAAAACATGCAGACAAGGGACCACATCTTACACCTAGACCTGAAAACGTTAGCGCGGAACAAAGCGCTCCTTTGGGCGACCGTCTTTTGCCTGGTGACGCCTATTCAGTGGACTCGGTCAGAGGACGGGTAAGAACATCAATAATAAATAGGCGTGAATAGTGCTGTGCATAGTGCATAGTCACATTAGTCCTCTGTTCTCTTCTCTCCTTCTGCCCCCCTCTCTCTCATTTCTCAATTTCTCTTCCTCCCTGACCCCCTCTCTCCTTCCCCTGTCTGCCTACCTCTCTTCGTCGCTCTTGCGCACCTTATGTGAGTGTACTTAGTCACACCTGTTTTGTGTGTTCGTTACGCGCGCACTTAATTCCATTATCATTTGTGTGGGAGATGGACATAACTTGTGATTGGGCCTGTCAAGCAAAATGGTTTGAATTACAATAGTACAAACCTGTGACATCTCTTAAATTACACTGATTGCTTCTTCTTTGCTTGCCCTCGCTCTACCCTTCACCGTGTTCTGCTATTTTCGGGCTTTAGGATGGACCACAAAGGAATCTCTGTACGACTGAGGTGCTGGCATTGTGATGTCCCATTCATGGAGTAGCATTGTGGGACAGTAGGCCCCAACCTCCTGTGTATAATTGCTGGTCTGATCTGCTGTCCTTATCTCAATATTAAATCATTTGACTATAAAGTCAATCACATTGCGCAAAAAGCGTAATGATTTGTCTTTCTATAAATTTGACGTGTAAGTTACAGGCCTGCCCAAATGGCCGTGAATATGTGTGATATTCATTCAAAGTTCTATAGTCCCAACATACGGCAAAGGATGCGCATTTCGCCTGGTAAAGCGTCATTTCACTGCAGCCGTTCAGATATGGCTGCCATCTTCCTTGCGAGGCAAAAGTTCGCGGCGCGCTAACGTCACCTGACAAAGTTCGCGGCGCGCTAACGTCACCTGACAAAGTTCGCAGAGCGCTAGCGTCAGGTGACAAAGTCCCGGCAAACATTTTAGGATCTGCCGCTACCTTGCAGGGGGGAGGGTGGCGTTTGGGCGGCGAGAAAGTCAAGGGTTCAGCTAGCACACTCATCTTAAGCGCGCGATTAATTTGAGCATATCTTTCTTCCATAGCGTTGTTTCTTTGGTATTATTAAAAACACAAGCTTGTGAATTTATGTCCTATCCTCCCCACCCTGCTCGGTACTATACTGCCGTAGACTGCACTATCCTGTAACGCCCTGTGCTGCCATGCTTTGAAACAAAGTGGTTCACAAGTTTTCAGGGGGGACAGCTGCATCACTGGATGCTGTTGCATAGTTTGGTAAACTCGTGACATTCGTCCCTCCCCATCTCCCCCTGATTTAACTTTGCACGCCGATAGCGAAATCTTGGAAGCATCTCCCGCTCTGGTCTTGCGCATCCTTCCAGTCCAGCCGAGCCCATCCCAACCAAGCCAGATATCGAACAGCGCTGCTGTTGCCCGCCTTCATGGCATTGATTATGGATCTGATCCCGTCGCAGCTCTAAAAAAGATGAGATGAATTTGGAGACGGATTGAAGAGCGCTGAAATCTATTGCCTCGGCAACGATTTCAAATGAGGCATCAGCTGTCTGCGCGCAACTGGCTCACTGACGGTGGATTACATTGGACGTTTATTTTATGAAAAAATATCCAGGATATTGGATATGCATAATTGATGATGATCCTATGCATAAAATTACTAACAAAAAGACTTGCGATTAATCCGCCTACACCAATTAACACATCTGTCCTCTGTCTCTTTTACATGACAACAAATGGAGCCAAAAAAAGACATATGAATGAACTATGTCTACTACCATGTCTACCACAATGTTCACAATGTCTACCATGAATATTTACCACAGCCTCCTACAAACTCCTCTGAAAACACCTTTCATTTCTGGGGAGACTGGAGGAGATTTGAGGTGAGCCTTGAAGAGCTTGGAGGAGGTTGCAGGAGCCACGGAAACGATCAGATTTGTTTCGAAGAGCTTTGAGGAGGTCAGAGAAGCAACAGGAACAACCCTATGCTGGCTGCCGTTTGAAGGGAGTATTTCACATTCACATGGGGTTTTAAGACGAAATAGCCATATTAAAGATACTTCGGTGCTGTTGACAATCCTGTCTTCTTAAGACCTAAGCCGTTCTATCTTCTAAGCTACACGCCCGCGAAAATGGAGAAAGGTATATTGGGGAGAGTATTTAAAAGTCATGTTGTCATTCATGGCGTCATAATAACGTCGTTCAAGTTTTCCCATTCCATTAGCCACGAGGTGATCAAGACCAAGAAAAATTAGCTGTCGAGGCGTTCATATCTAGCTTTCGTGATCGCGATTTCCAGATATAACGGCCGTCGATTTGCTCTCAATCAATGTTGTGCGAAATACGATGACGTAATCAAACCATGACGGATTGAGGGGCATATCTACTAAACAGAGAATTTTGCTGTCTAGGGCAGTATTTTCCACTTAAAAATTACATTGATTGCTGTAAGTGAGCTAGTTTCATCAAATCTGATGCTTGATTCAATATTTTCAACTATGAAACATTTCGTTTGATGCAGCCATTACACGAGGGCGCGCTGGCTCAAATGGTCGAATATTCTCCTATCAGGATCGCATCACAACTACGAAGGTGCTTGACCTCTACACACTCATTTGCAGTCTTTTTGCCTAGAGGATATCAGCGGCAGTTAATAACACAAGTCATGGATAAGACAGAAGTAATAGCCATATTCTTCGGAGAAAAACTAGTTAAATGGAGATATAGATGTGCTGATATTTCGGCAACATGCCTTTATCGAAAGGAAGAGCGAAAGTGAGAGCGATAAACATTGAGTGATCTTCGTTTCGATAAATGCATGTTGCCAATCAACGCATCTATATCTCCATTCTCCTGGCTTTCCTCAGAGGAATTAGGCTATTACTAATGTCTTATCTATGTGAATAATGTTCCTCGCAAATGCAATTCAAAACTGGCATAATAACACAACTAAATGCAGGAGAAGTGAATGGAGCTATTTTTAACCCACGCTCAAGTAGTGTAAACCAAATGGGGTTGGCAGAGTTGTTCCGGGACCTGTAGCCGTCGCTCAGCTTTTTAAGATACTTACGTGCCTTAAAGTAATGTCCTGGTTCATTCCCCATCTGATTATGTAGTTGCGACCAGGGTTGGTTACCGCCACGTGGTCTTAGGGTCGGGAGCTATCCGAACAGCCGATTTTGTGACCAGCTGATGGCTAATGAATAACGCAGGGTCTCATAATTGACATAATTTTGTATTGATGTGGACAATGTGTCCCCCTATCTTTAAATTTAGTGAACTAATTGGTGCTCATCGTGAATATCAGGTACAAAGTTAATTTATTGAGACCTCGGTCAATTATTTAAGGTGCGCGGATGCTTACTAAAATTCGCAAACATTTTGTCAGATTGTGCAGTAGTCACATTTCCCTCACTAACATCTCACTACACTGTAAAATGAGTAAACTGATCGGCTATTGGCCGTAGCCATCAGATGCCGCAGCGGTCATGACTTTCACTGAGACCAACAATCGGTTACTTTTCCTCCAGCCTTAAAGAGGATATGCCACCATTTATTGCTAGATCAGATGCGTCCGAGTTGATCTTTTTTCAAAAACCTTCTGAAAACCTCTGAATAACTTCTTGAAGTAACTCCTCCAGCGAGAGAAATCTCGCTTAACACTCTGCTCACCACTATAAAAATAAAACTGTTCATTTTCCTTGTTTTTTTAAACGTGTGTGTTCTGTATGGTTCGCAGTATACGAATTCCTCGAAACGATTATGCAGTAAATGCTACGAAAGCTGGAAACACTTTGTTTCGGGCAAAACACGTACGAACACGATGTTATCAACACCAGAACTCCACGAAACATTTCACTACAGTTTTGATTTATCACTCCGGCGTTTAGCACAGTACTCTTTCCCAAGCGCGTTTTGGATTTGGGAATAATGCATGATCTAAATTAACGCGCTAGTTAAAAGTTCAACTGATATATTTCTCGATCAGTGGGCTTCGCCTCCTGCCATGCCAATCACAATAGTTTCTTGTAGTGACGTCCTTCGTGACGATGGAGGTGCCACTTTTAACCCCGCAGACCCGCAGGGGTTAAACCAGCCCAAAAGTGCCCCATGTGGTCCATAACAGCAGACGACGGACGACCATTAGCAGATTATGCTGCCTTTTTGGTGGCAGTTGTCATGACGACGGCAGTCACAACAACTGCGATTGTTGTAGGCTAAGGATACACTCTGGGGCTGCGTAGAAAATATGTACAGTGCTGTGATGAAACGTTGAAAGTATAATTTGAACTGGAAATGATTAAATAAATTTCCGGATGTTCTGGTTCTAATGTATTCGAACATTTTCCTAAGAAACTTTAGAAATTTTGTGTCTTGACGACCACTGCAACGTGCACTTAATAATTGTGCCTTGGTGACTCTAACGCACCAGCGTTATAGGCCTTACATCGTACCTACGCGTAGACTTCAAATCAGATTTGCTCCAAAAAACGTTTAGAGGGCCAACCAAGTGAACATTGAGCGGCGTAAGACAACTATGAATCAGGCGCATTTTTCGTTGTCTCGCTCACTCCAGCCATGTAGACATTTTGGTGATGTCCTTTCCTAAAACGTGATTTTGTGTCATCGAACGTAGTTTTATCAGGAAAGGAGTGATCGCTTACAATTCAAACAGCTTACTGAGTGCCTTGAGGAATATACCGCTTCGGGACTTCAACCCTTTTATGGTTTTAAAACCCCTTCTCTTCACAATTTGCTCCTGCTTCTGGGTGTTACAGACTCAGTACCCAACTATTCACTATGGTCGTTCACTATAACTTAACTTTTCACTCAGCTTGGTGAAAAACCGCGTGCTTCTTTTGAAGGAAGCGTCCCACCTTTTTCACTATTCACTCATGGAAGCGTCAGGCATCAGAAGCGTCCAATTTGGTCCATAATGCTAATTTTCTCCAAAGTCCTCTGAAAAGCCTACAATTTTGATTTCAAGTAGCAGTTTCCACCGAAGGAATGTCATTATCTCCCTGCTCACCACTGTGAAACACATAATTTCTACTTGCTTGCCTTTTCCTAATGTGTGTGTTGTGTTCCATACACCAATTGATCAAAATGTTCGCGAAATAAATGGTGCAAGAGCTTAATACTCTCTATTTAGGGAACAAAATAAACATATGTGAGGCACCATCACGCAAATTCAACGAAACGTCGCACAATGGCTTTAACCTTTTCCCGATGACGTTCAACACAATGATTCTTTTCGAAGGATGCTTTAGTTTTGGAAAGCAGTGTTTGCTTAGACGTCCAGCTCGTTGCATGGTTGTGTTTACGAAACGGGTATGTACTATTGCCGATCACAAATGGTGCACGTCTCGCTAAATGTATACGTTGCCCGCTGTGCCAACCGTAAACGTTCACTTCTTCTAAGGGCATTAATCTTAATAAATCCACAGATGCCCAAATACCAGCATGATTGTGAAGGTAGGAACTACCACGTAATGAATGTGAACATGTGTGACTGCCCTGTACCACAAAATAGTTACATCCTGATCAACCCGGCTTTACCTGACATTAAATTATGGCACCCATCTTAAGCAACGAGTGATGTGAAAGGGACAAAGTAGAATTGGGATGTGATAAAATCAAAATCAGGAGAAATGGAACCCAAAACTGGTAATTTTGCATGGGAGATGCAAAGCCGTGCATCCGGCGGAAAATATGGGGGGAGGTAATGACAAGTCTTCTGTGATAACTTGGGGAACACGATTTCACTGATTCCCCCATCCCCTTGGTTGGTCAACCCCTGACAACCATGGAAAATGAATGGAATATGAAAAAATAAGCGGGTGCTATGTGGGGAGAATGCTTTCGATAAAAAAAAAAACAAAATGTCAATCGTTGGACACTTCTGGAAAGACATTCCAAAGTGACAACGGGATTTTGGAACACTTTGAACATATTGCAGAAGATTCAACAGTTGCAAAAGACAAAATAATTTCAATAAAATTGATAGAAAGACAGCAAAAATCCATGCAGTCAGGTTGTTAGCACACCTTTGTCGACTTTGTTGGTACCCACATCGTTATATCGATGAGAACCATGAAGTGAGTGGAGCACTGTGAACGTACAAAAGCAAAAATCACGCTTGGCCATGGACAGTTCATTAACAAACTGGATTCTTAGTCAGAAGCCACAACCATTTGCTTAAAAAGGTAGGGCACCCATAATTTTTATGCAGGGATGCAATAGTAGTGTGCGTTTCAATGAAGCTACGTAATTTTATTTGGACTCGGTGAGGTACCTGTCTTCCACAGTCTAGTTCCTCATACCCCTGGGTTAGGTATATTTATATTTATCCAGCATAATTTGTGAGCCAACGAGCCATACTAAGGCACTGTGCTAGCAAATGCAAATGGGCAACGTCACAATGTTACAACATTTACCCGATGCAGCAACCCATGTTAGTCATGATTGCAACATCACAACATGCTTATATATTTTATCTAAGTCTGTTCGGTGTTTCACTTCCAGAGTTTTCAGAAACCCAGAGAAGAAATGGGTATTGAACGCCTCATTGGTACCAATGAGACAGAAGACTCGCTTTTTGACAAAACTGTTTCCTTCATTGTTTGGATGTTACCAATGATTCATATTAATATTGATCCTAAGCCACAATTAGTGACTGCTGTCTTTAGCCAAAGGTTTCAATGCAGGCTTCAGATGATGTTTTTCTGTAACCATTATCCAACATTCGGTGAGATCCAGCCATCCCGCGTTGAGGAGGACTAAGCGGTATTAACATCTTGGTACCCTGTCTTCGCGATTCACATTATGTGCACGAAATTTAAAGAGCGCCCAAAAAAGTGCGCCTGATGCTGGCGAACGTTGCCTTATGTGCGCAAGTTTTGTCCAATGCCCGGGATGATAATTGGGCTACTAAGGGAAGAAAAAGTGCAGTGTGGTTCTGAAATGTTGACCACACATTTTGTGCTGAGAAATATTTACTTTTGGTAGGTACATAATAGATATATAATAAGTATATTCAGCTAGAAATAATGCTTGTTTGCATACACTACCCTGTTGGTGATACAGTTGTGCTCCCCACTTCTACTAGTATTAATGACACGTCCCAATGATTCACCAGGGCATGTCTCTGAAATATGATGCAATGACGGGACACTTTCTTTAACAAATAGCCTTGTAAATGTGCACAGCGATGCCATATTCAGCCGTCCTTGTTGCCCCACATATGTAATTGATCCCTCGGCACGGATTGCTGACAGCTGTACCACAAAGCCTTCATGTGCGTTTCAGATTATATATTTTTGCTTAGCTAAGAGATGTTCTCTCTGATGACAATGACCAGAAACATGGAATCGGGATTGCTGAAATCCTACGTTCTTCTTAAAGGGAATGTTTCACATTTGAAGATAGTAAAACATCACATATGATGGAACAAGCTCACTTATAACGATTGGTATACTTAAGTTGTATTCGCGAGGAACATTGTTCACTCCTTTAATGAGCGGGACACTCACTCCTTTAACGAGCGGGAAGCCACCGAACCGCAGTGCCGTCATCCGCCATTGTCCGCCGTCGCGTCCGTTGTCAGTCATATCAAAACGCGAGGTCATAATCGTGCATACCTAGCAAGCGGAAGCTAGAATCAAAGCATGACATCAAGGGAAGCCTGGAGAGGCGACAGTGGTCCGTACGCTGGCAGTGGAGTCGATGGAGGGTGAATGAGTCTGGATGAGGAGCGCACTTGACCAGAGAGGTCTGCGTCTCCTCCGCGTGATTGCTGTGTCCTGGTCACGCGCTCAATTCCCGCGCCCAGCTGTTCTGTCGTCATTGCGGCTTTACGATGCACTCAGCTGCGGAGGCTTTATGGCGTCGCCTGCCCTACCATAACTGTGCATACCGAGCTATTTACATAAACAGAGAGCTAGCGGCCCAGCAATGACTGGTTCGAATATGCGACATTGGGCATGTGACCACCGCGGGCCGTTTGATGTATCGTCATGCTAATGGCCTTGACATTTTGATACCTTGCATGTGACCAGTGATTATCTTTGAAAATGGGGTTGTCTTCGCCTTGCGTTCTTTTGTGCGTCCTTATAAATGCCTGAGGCGAGTAGTTCATCGTGTGTGTTGATGTGGAAGTATTTTGACTAAACTGCAAGGAATTTTCTTTCAGACCTCTTCGATTTGAAGATTTGAAGTCATGCTAATGACCTTGACATTTTGATGCCTTGCATGTGACGGGCGATTTATCTAAAAATGTGGCCGTCTTCGCCCTGCGTTCTTTTGTGCGTCCGTAAATTATGTCTGGGGTGAGTACTTAATTGTGTGTGTTGATGTGGAAGCATTTTCACTCACCTGTAAAGAATCTTCTTTCAGACCGCTTCGATTCGAAGATTTCCTCCCACCCGAGGTTTTCAAGAAATATGACAAGATGAAACCTCCAAAGACTGAAGGTCAACCGACGAAAGTTGACTTTCATGTCACAGTAATGCAAATAGACTCGATCAACGAGAATTCCATGGTAAGCCAGTTCATAATTTAGATACTCTTCAGCTACAAATAATATCTGGCGTTTTCCAGATGTGTTGTATTTGTTTATCAGCTTCTATCATGCTTTACAAGCCCATGTCCGAAGCGCGTTGCGCCAGTCCATCAGCTGTGTCCGTATCTTGCGGCACCGAAACTAGCGGAGCGTTTTTACTGTCTCGTTCTCCGCACCCCTTGACCCTGGCATGAGCCTGTCTGAGACAGCCGGAGATTCATCGGAAGTAAATCGCTAGACGATGTCGATTGCTGCTTCTCCCCTCCCCCCCCCCCAGGTGTTTTAAAAAGACACTTTCGTTTTGGCTGCAAACATTTGACAGTCGAGAGCCGAGAATGATGAATTTACAACCTCAACATTTTCCGACCGGACGGTTTGGTTGAGTTCCGGTTCTGTTACGCTTCTTCCCCCATGTTATGTTAAGTATTATTGTCGTTATCTTCTCTTATTAAATGTGTTATTTTATGAGTTTTTGACCATACTGATAATTATTGCACATCATTTATATATATATATATATATATATATATATATATATGTATATATATGTACACATATATGCAATTATCATTGCTTTTATTCTCTCGAGATATTCTGCCCACTGCTCCCAAGCGCGTTTTGAGATCATATTATGTTTACTGATCCTTGGGTTATGTTTTCCCTAAACTCTGATTGTTAAGATACGTGTTATGCAATAATGAACCGTGCAGGACAACTAAGTACTACTCCTGGGTTTGATAATGCGCCATGCTGTTTTCAGACATATGTCGCCGACATATTTTTTGCTCAGTCCTGGAAAGATCACAGACTTCATCTTCCGGAAAATATGACATCAGATTACAGGTACGTTGCCCTGTGAGACGACAATCGTGGCTAATGGTTACATGCAACCAGGGTTTAGTATTGACATTAAGCATGACGTAATATTTTGGACCAGCTGCAAAAGTGACGAGAGAGGCATCGCCGCTTGTAATGGAAAGCTAGGTGCAATTACAGCATAGAAAAGGTCCCCGTGCCCTAGCGCGCCTTGGAAGGTAAGGATCTTGCACTGCCATGCGTCACGTACACTGTTTTGCGTCACATGCACTGCTACGCACCACATACGCTGAGTGAAACCCTCAAATGTTCATTGACAAGCCAGATACCGACAGTTCATTTCTGTGATTTGACTTCGTTCCCTTAATGCAATTGCTGAATGGTGCACTTTCGTTAAGTTATCAGCGCTTTTCTATCCTGTTTACAATCAGAGATAAGAAGGCACATTGGTTGCGTCAATTGAGCTTTATTATTTGGTTCAGTGGAAGGGGAGGACATTCGTTATTTGGTTTAACTTCAGGCGCAAATGGCCTTCAGCAAGCTAGGAAACACTGGCGCCCTTTTTGGCCCTTTAGCCCTTTTGTGGTCCCGTAAGGAAGTATACCTGCCCTGAGGTCGCCAGCGGAGACTGGAATCAAAGCGTGACATTGAGAGAGGTCTGGAGAAGCGACAGTGGTTCCTACGCTGGCAATGGAGTCGATGGAGGGTGAATGAGTCCGGATGAGGAGGGCACTTGACCAGAGAGGTCCGGCGTCTCCTGCGCCTGATTGCTGTGTCCTGGCCACGCGCTCAATTTCCCGCACCCAGCTGTTCTGTCGTCATTGTGGCTTTACGATCCACTCAGCTGCTGAGGCTATATGGCGTCCCTGCCTCTCACACTGTCAGGAAGGGCGGACACCACGGGAACAGCCAGATGCTCTGCTGGTCTGAGAAAATGTCTGGTGGGGCCAGGCCACACTGTAGTGTAACACATGTTAGACAATACAGACAAATGCCATTTAAAAGCTTAGATTGGAGCAGCGGATCCGCCACCAATTTCCGATAGGGTGGCGAGACTGTAAAACCATCACGACGCTTAACTAAAAATAACCCTATCGAGCCGCAGCGGCGAGGAACCGCCTCCCTGCTGCTACGCGCCATTGCAAAAACTGAAATGAGTGAGAAGTCTTTCATCAGAGAGCTTACCTAGATTAACCAACTGGCCGTGACGTGCAGGTGTTAATTGTGTCACAAGTCACGCATGTTTTATAACACTGTATGTGTTTCGCTGGCATTGCGTCTCATTTGCATGTGTTACGTGTTCGGTGTTGATCTATGTAGTATGTACTGACGCGGCGTTAGAATAGCCACTCGCTGGATTTCGCCAAGGTTCGCAATAATAATAATAATAATAATAATGGGGGCGAGGGGAATCATGCGCTCAATAACTGACATTCTCTTGGATAATCAGTGCTATGAAAATCCTCTTGTGCTTGCGCAAGATCACTGTGATGCATAGAGACACGGGAACCGGAGATGAAGGCAGGGGCTGAGACCAACAACTTTCCGAAAATTTAACGTTGTCTCCGTGGGCGTTGACTGAAAAAAACAATTAACCATGATTTCCTTTCCCTCTCATTGTGGAAGGATTGACAGGTAGTTTCTTCCATGCCGGGGAAAAATCCTATCGTACTTTCGTAGCTTCCTCTCAGCAGTCGGCACAGCACATACTGTCACGTAGACTAATTGCCCAGCTGATGTTTCAATGTCTAAACGTGTTTGTGTTCAGTGGAAAAACTTTGCAGTTTGATGTTTTCTATATTTCATCGTCCCACAGCTACGCTATTGCTGGGACGCCCGATCCGAAAATATTGTTATTTGTATATCGACAAATTATAACAGAATGTAAATCTGACCATTTATTATTGTGCCCACAAAAAATCCAAACTACACACTACTTAAGGATCACAGAATTCACTTACACCTTTCAGGTGTGTACCACCACCGATTATGGTGCGGCCCTTAGCGCAGCCAAATATTCTTTGACGCGATGTGTGTGAACTCGCAAAAGTGACTGCACCATGACCTGGATCCGTTCGATCCAGGCGAAGGCGATATACGCGGCATAATGCTGCTGCGTTGATCCAGTAACAGTGTGTTGAAGACGATGCGCCGACACACACACTACTGATGCATCACCATTAAGCCCAGGAAGTTTCCATCCTTGCCGCGAGCTGAAGCTACATTCAGCTGCGGCTGAACCGACGGGGAGGGCCATGATAAGGCAATCAAGTTTGACGACTTCAAGGATGAGATTCCTGCGCGTTGTGCTTCTCATCGCGGAGAACAGACGGAGAGGGCGGGGGGGGGGGGGGGGTCATATTTACCTTGGTAAATAGCAAGAGGGCGGTGCCCCCTTGTCGCTCTGGCAGCGCTGCCCCTGGATGTCCCGTAGCGTAGGTATGCACAACTTCTGCGCGACCAGGAACAAGGTATGCTGAAAATGTAATGTAATGTATGTCTGTAGGCTTCAAAAGAGGAAAGAAATGAAGAAAGGGTTACATGGTCTTTTGGTTACACGAGTGACGCTACAGCGTAATGGACTTAAAACAAAATGCACCTAAGTTGTATGTGTTAATGTGCAGCCCACGTTAAAATCCCGTGGCCGACTGGTGGAGTACATCTAGTGACAGCTTAAATATTTTCTAGTGCACCGCGAAAATGAAACGAAGCAAAGTACGCAACATTTTTAGTAGCATTGCCTAATGCACGTAGACAAAATCTCCCTGATGGGGTTAAGTGTTAAATGACATGATGCCATGTTCTGCTTGGTCCCATCCTTGGCTACGCCGCACAATTTCTTTGAAACTTGTTTGCATATTGTCTGAAATTTTGACCGTCATTGCAGGTCAGGTCATTGACATAGCCAAAGCCAAGCGATATTGAAAAACTTTCAGGTATCGCGCTGCTTTCATTTCAACTGTTCTTTTTAACCACTGAAAGTTATTATTTTTACGAAGCTTCGGGAATCGAAAAATATAAAGCGTATTACGGATGTGTCTGATTGACAATGATGCTGAAGACATGGACGCAGGGACAGTGTAGCGTTGCAAGGTCAACACCCAAACGTGTGCGGTCACCGATAGGTGGTGCCAACGAGTTTAGTGGTGTGTGAGAGGCATCAGGTATCTATTGAGAACCGTGAGCGTCTCGAGAGGTTAGTGCATTGTTTTTATGTGTAGCAATAGTATGAGTGTTTTGTTTGCCAATAGATGATGGCTAATGTAGCTACGCTTGGCGGTTCAATGATATTGCCAATCATAACTAGGTAGAACGTTGCTGGTACGAAATAATATAGCTGTCCCGAGCCATGGCGCTAGTACATTATCATTTCAACACCCCGAATACCCCGAGACACGGCGCACTGTTGAACTGAAAACGCCGTCGCAGTCTGGTGAAACACATCCACAGGTAGCAGAAGCCACGATGGCCATATGTGAAACACAGACAGGCTACCCACTACCCTGCCCCCCTTCCCAACCCCCCCCCCCCGCCCCTCGGTCTCGTCTGAGTCAACTACGCGGACCCAGACGAAAAATGCCGTCGAGTCGCCCCTGGCTGGACGCTCGGATGCGCAGCCGCCCGTGCACCCCGTCCCCAGGTTGACTGGCGTTCCAACCCGCCGCTATGCGTGACACACGTGCGACTCAAGCTGTCTGGCGTCCCAGCCCTCCGGCTATGAACAGTGGGCGGCCCGGTCCCTCTGGGCACCACACGAACGTTACCTCCCCTTCCCTCCCCCACCACAATACCTGTCGTAACACGCCCGAACGAAGACCGCTGGTCCCGTCCATCAGTGAGGGCGGCGATGGGACGGCCTCGGTCCGTCTCGTTCGAGCGATTCCCATCAACCGGTGGGAATGGGTCCCTTCATAACTAAATGTCCTTCATATTACAGTGGAACTGTCGCGGTCTGATCTCAAAATGGTCTGAAATGAAAACACCTTTTGCCGTATCAGTTTCGATCATCATTGCCGTACAGGAAACATGGTTTCGTCCCACCGACACATATAACTTTAAAATGTCGAGTTACTCGTTGTACCGCTGTGACACCACGGACGGTGAGCGTCGCCAAGGTGGGGTGACATTGTACATCAGTCAAGAATTAACACAAACACCACCTCACTCTTAACACACCTGTTCAG